CTACGTTACACCTGATTCTCAAATCTGATTTGTAGATCATGCATAATCATGCATAACCGAGCACAGATTATAATGTCATGGTAAAAATTTTTGGGCGAATTTTTTTAGAAGTTTGGCTAGGATTTTTTTTTTAATAAAAGAACATATGTGGGTTTCAGAATCTTAAAAATTATTCTTGGTGCTTTTTTTTTTTTGTTATCAGCCTCATTTTTAAACTTTTACATTTGCTTGTAGAATACCATTTATTGACAATACAGAATCAAGTTTGATAGTTATAGTCACATGATAATTTCGATTTAGAAATAAATGTCAAATTCTTTCGTTGTCATTATGGTCTTTGGCAATTAGTAATTATCAATTTATCTGTTCGCTAAAAAATCCCAGTAAAAAAAAAATTGCAGAAACATGTATATTCATAAATATAGGTAAGATGTAAATTTTTTCAAATATCAACTTAGCGAAGATCAAGTATCATTATTGTTATATTCTAATTAAGATACACTATTTCATTATTCAGATTTATTTATGTTGTGACTTAGATTAACACTTGCATCAGGTGTTGCTTTGGGTTTAGACTATAGTTTAAATTGATCAGTTAATTCCGGTCAAATGATCATTATACAGCTGACACATGACACATGCGTTGAGGCACAACATATATACAATATTTAGTTATTGACCATTAGACAAATCGTCAACTTTATCTCGCAGGTAAATCTTGCTGCAACCTTTTATTAGCTTATCTGCGATTGAGTTAACATATTAATAAAATGTCCCAATGAAAATACGAAAATGGAAACATATCGAGATTCTAATCAACAAATATGTTAATTAATAGAGTCGAACAAGTAGGTTAGCATCCCTAGAATCAATTTTTCTAGATTTTTTTATTTATTTAAGAAAAAAAAAAAAATACAGTATATACTATTATACTATAATAAAAAGAGTCTATCGTGACAGTAATATAGATCCAATGAAAAAAAAAATTTATACATTAAGAAATTGTACAGCGTGGAAAATCAAAACTATCAAGATTAGGTAAATCGGTTGAAATATTTTTAGTAGAAAGAGTAGCTTTGAGTTTATCGTGCACATTATAATCAAATTCATTATCCTTAAGATATAATAAAGTTAGTGTAGTGTTTTTACGAATAGCTTTCATAAGCGCTTTACCTCCTTCTGAATAAAATTGATTTTTTTGAAGAATTAAATGAGTTAATGTATTGTTCTCATAAAGTGCTTCAGCTAGTGCTGTTGCGCCTTCGCATCCAAGAGAATTTTTAGTAAGGCTCAGATATATCAACGTTTTATTTTTACAAAGCGCCTTTGCTAGTGCTTTCCCACCTTCAGGGCCAAGTGAATTATAATTAAGACAAAGATGTGTCAGAGTAGTATTTACATAAAGAACTTCTGCTAGTGCTTTTCCACTTTCTGAATTAATCCCATTATTATTAAGGCACAAATGATTTAAAGTAGTATTCACGCGAAGAACATCTGTCAGTGCTTTTACACCTTCAAAATTAAGATCATTTCCCGAAAAAGATAATTGTGTTAACGTAACATTATTGTAAAGTGCCTTCGCAAATGCTTTCCCAATTTCGGTGCAAAGTTGATTGTTACAAAGAATCAAGCGTTTTAAAGCAAAATTTTTATAAATTGCTTCTATCACCAATTTAATTTCTGATCCAAGTAATGTATTAAGTAATTCTAAAGTAATTGTTTTATTTGTCCGTAGAAACATTCTAATTAATGAATATTTAATTGTTCGAACCATATTTATGGACCTTTCGTTAAGAGGATTATAAGTTAGATCTCGATGTCCATGTTTTAAATGAGTAAGCCAATATACCGTTGCCCTAAATTTGCTTGCAGGTTCTAGATCACAAGGTCCATACTTTTCATGATTAAGCCAATTTATGATTCCATTATCAGAATTCATCTTGATAACTTTACTATAGGATATGTATTCAAATAATGGTTTTGATT